GTAAGTGGAAGTGGTACAAACATATCTGAGTTATACCACCATTATGGAGTCAATTTCTTCGCTTTGTATATGTTCGCTTCAACTACTTGAGTTACAAGTCTCATGTGACTTAGAGTTTGCATATCATTCATCATACCACACCATTATCTAACTATGGGGGCCTACGCTCCAAGAAAAATTATCTGTCCATATGATACACATTTGAAGTTTTCTAGTTTAGGCTATATTATAAGTATCTGTGCAAGATCTTTCTCATTTTTCACATTACTTGATTTGCAAGATCTTTCATTAAGCAACATTTTGATTAACCATGCGATGCTTCACGAGACAATTGGAAATTAAACCCTCCCTTGGATTATTCAATTCAAATTAAGTAAAAATATAAAGGTTTTATTGCCATTACCATTTTATTACAAGGCTGCTAGAAATGAGAATGAAAACCCATCTCCTTTTGGAAATGTATACGGGTTTTGTTTCTTTGATCAAAGAAATGTATATGGGTTTTAAAACCCATGAAAACGAAAAAACCACCCTTCTCATGTTCATGTGCGTTTTCCCCTGTAGGATACATTGTGCTTTAACCAAACATGAGGAGAAGAATCTCGTACTCATTTCCAAGCTTGTTTCCGTGCAGGGGAAAAAACGAAATCACCCGGTGCATGTATTAGATTATATTACAGGATATGAAGAAGTTGGGAAATCTTAATCGACCACAGATTTATTGGGCAAGAAGAGTTTCCAGTCTTACAAAAGATGACAATTCTAACATGATTCACAACTCACATCACCTTCAACATGTATTGGATTACTTTTCAACAAGATATCGACTGCTAACTTCTAAGCCTCAACTAATGAAGAAAAAAATTGAAGGGAAGATGATAGAAGAAAGATGAGGAATGGGGAAAAATAAGTAAAAATCTCAAAATGATATCAACATACATTTCAGAACATTATACCCACTCCTTTGGGTTGATGCAAGCATCTAACAGTTTCCATTCTTCACTTCCCTCTTCTGGTTTCTGCACAGCAAACAATAAGATTGCTCTCAATTATGAGTTCAAAACTTCAAGGTGTTCCATTTTTAAGTAGTACCAGAAATAAAGTATCGTACAGAGAAAACCTGTAAGCTTACATGGTCATATTCCCACCGAGCAGTCAGTGGAAGAGAGACAAGAATACTCTCAATTCGACCTCCTGTCTTTAGTCCAAAAGTTGTTCCACGATCATAAACCTTTTGTTTAAAAGAAAACAGATATTAGGCCTCATTTACATATTAATTGCTGATATGAATCACTAACATCTTCAGGGCTCATTTTCATACCAAATTGAATTCAACATAGCGCCCTCTTCGCAATTGCTGCCATGCCTTTTGCTGATCTGTAAATGGTAGATCCTTCCTTTTCTCTATAATTGGTACGTAAGCAGGGACCACAGAATTTGCACATTCTTCAAGTCAACGGAAGTGCATGCAGGAAATGGATGCAGTCACTCAACTAGTAGGAAATAATTACTGGAAAATACAACAGAAAAAAATAAAAAAGATTCTATATTTCCAAGCAATACCAGTGGCAAAGGAAAGAAGCATCTCCTGATCATAGTCATTTAGATCATCAAAAAATATTCCTCCCAGCCCTCGCCTCTCATCTCGATGCTGTATACAGAAATGAACTATGTACCATCAACACCATATTACAAATTTATAACACATAACAATTAAAAAGGTTTAGTAAGAAATATACCTTGATATAGAAATAATCATCACACCATTTCTTGAACCGAGGATAGAAGGTAGGATCAAATTTGTCGCAAGCACTTTTCTGGACCTACAGAAGAAGGCCAACACCACTATACAGTTAGTTAAAGCCACAGAATTTTTCAAAAGAAGTGGGACTTTAATCACAAAACACCATAAGGGATGTTGTCTGTTTTGTTTTACATACTGAATGAAAATGCTTAACATCCTCCTCAAAAATATAAGCAGGTGTCAAGTCAGTTCCGCCACCGAACCACCATTGCCTAGGTGCTCCAGGAGCATCTGCATAAATGTGACGAATCAGGATAGAGTCCAAAGAGCTTTCTTATTCATAAATTATTTATACACGAGTGATATAAGGAAATGCAAACTTTCAAGCATGGAACAAGGGAAAAAGAAACTTATTAGTGATATGATATCTGCCTCATCTTCTCTACCACATCACTGACTGAACACTTTCCAGGTACTGACGAGAAGAAATATCTTATCCCTATAGTTAATCTTATTATTGTTTCTACTATCACTACTGCTTGTATTATTATCAGCATTGCAACTATCATTATTACTGATTGTTAATCAACCCATAAAGGGAAGTAATCAGAATCTCAACATATCATTTCTAGCATGTGAGCATAATCTAGTGCCCGTCAAATTATGTTTTCTGGGTTTAACAGTTTTCATCATAATAACATGTACACATTTATATCCAAATTTAACCTTTACCTTTCCCAATCTTTGATATCCTTGGTTTTGCATTATTCAACACAAGCATGACATAAAATGGTGAACTCATTTAGAGATCATCTACTTCATTAGTAATACCACCAAAGCTGGGTTCAAGCCTGCCTACCTACCTACCTACAAACGCAACCTAACTAAGCAATGTGCAATCCACAGCAAAGAAATGAGAAATGATCACATTCATACCTTGCGGAGCATCCGTTTCGAAATACCGATAATTGAAATGCAAAGTAGGTGCAAAAGGGTTCTTTGGATGCAAAACCTGAAAACAATCACAACCAAACCGCAGCCCTATATATTATACAAACAAAATAAAAACCCAACATTTTCTTCTTCTTTCTTTTTTCACAAAACGAGCAGAACTCACGAAATTACCGAGCTAATTCCGGAGGCAAAGAAAGGAACCGGGCCCGGCTTGTGATCAGCTGCGGCGGCGCCCTTGGCAGCTCGGTATGCCTCGGGAGGCATAACGCCGTAGACAACAGAGACATTGACACCGGCCTTCTCCCAAACGGCGCCGTCTTGGAGGACCCTGCTGATGCCTCCACCGCCACCGGGCCTCGACCACACGTCCTCTTTAAAGGTGGCACCGCCGTCCGCGGCCTCAATGGCGGCGCAGACGGTGTCTTGGGCTTCTCTTATCATCTTCTCGAAGCGGGCCCGCACGGAGGACGAGGAGGAGTTGGCGCGGAGGAAGGTGTCGGGCCGCTGGGCCTCCGGGGTCTCTTTCTCGATGACGGCGCATCGGACGGTGGAGGAGGGAACTGAGTGGAGGGAATGGTGACGTGGGTTGATTGCGAAGGAGTGTCTTTTGGGGGAGAAAGGAGGGAACTTTGGTTTTGGGGAGGGAGATGGGGAGAGGAGAGTGAAGGAAGATGAAGCTGAGAGAGTGGCTGGTGGTGGCATTGTGGGTTTTGTGAGGAAAAAAATTTCAAGTACAATTCAAAGGCCGTGTGTCTTTCTCACAGAGGAATTGAAAGAGAGGGGGATATGAATTTGGGATAAGGTGCTCGGTCAAACCAAACCCAGATACACAGATTGTTCAAGCCCACTGTATTATCATCAAATTTTACTGTGGGGGGCTTGGTCTTTTACTGTTGGCCAATTTTTAAGGTCAATTTTGGCTCCAAAGTTGAGCCCTACATTCCATACTTGCATAATATTGCTTCATCCACTCATATTTTTTTCCCTTTTTTTGACTCAAAAACTGAGTGTCCAAGTCCAAATGATAAACCAAAGAAAACCAACTACAATTCTTGTACAAAAAGCATAGTTTTTTTTCTTTTTTTTCTTTATGTTATTATGAGTTCTCATATATGAGAAAATTTAATCAATATCGGAGATAGCACTTAGCATTATCTCGAGCCAATCACCCATTGTTATGTGTTTTAACTTTTCGACATGACAATATACAAAGCCAGTCTTGAATTTTTCAGGGCCCAAGCCAAATGTAAAAAATTTGACCCCTAAGCTAGATATATATATATATATCACTTAAGTGCTAGACTCACTCTCATTTTTCAATCAAGATTTAACTTATTTGAATTAACTAAAAGTTTAACATTCAAAACAAATAAATTATATAAATTCAAATTTCAATATATAAAAATCTAAAATAAGAGACTACGCTTGATATATTCAAATATAATGCATAAACAAAAAAATACTTGTAATAATTCAATCATTTCTTTTTCTTTTTTGACTTCCAGATAGTTGTTTTTTAGGAATCATTGCTACTTGAAAATAGAAACATTAAAAGGAAATCCAATGAAATTTTAATACTTCAAATAATAAACAAAGAACAATATAACTTGGAATTTGAGAAATCAATTAGAGCTTAAAAGAGTTGAAACACCCATTTTACTTTTTTTTAATATTAAAATAATATATCATTAATATAATATAGCTCTTTATTTAAAAAAATATTAGGCCCTTTGGACAGTGAGCCCAGGACAGTCGCATTGACTGCCCTGTTCAAGCCGACACTAACAATACAATTTATCGACATGACAATACATGATAGACTTGAAATAACTTAGCATCTGTTACATGTAAGTTTTCTCCTTACAGAGCGTATGTTGCTCAATTTTGTAACCCAAATAAATTTTGCCAATGACTTTAATTAATTCAGTAAATACAGCGCTTTTTTACTGAACGTATTTATTTTCTACCGGGAAAGAAATAACAAAAGGCACAGCTTTTTATATGCTTGAATAACTTCCGGACTATAAAATCGGTATCATCGTCTTCATCATCACATCGCTCTGTATCTCTCTCTGTAAATTCATTCCAATTCGATAGAAATGGAAATATCGGCGGAGCCCATCAGAGTTCAAAGCTTATCCCAAGCCGGCCTCAACCAAGTCCCGCCCCAATACATTCAACCTCCCCAGCACCGACCCAATCGACCTTCTTCTTCAA